CAGAGACTGTAAAATATGTAGGTTTCAGGGCCCTATGGAAGATTTACTAAAACAGGACCTCTGAGTGCAGGTTGGAAATCTACATTTTCAACCAAAGTCCTAGATGATTATGACAGACACTGAAATCTGAAGAGCACTGTTCTGAGAAAAGAAGAAATACAGGTTACATGTGCAACCAGGGAGATTTGTACAGTAAGGGAAAATAACCGGCCAGCAGGGGCACGCGCTAGGCAAAAAGCAAGGAGGGATCTGCTAAGGACTATGCAGTGAGGCAAACAAGAGAGCCAGGCTCTGAAAGTCAAACAGGTTGAAAGCTTGTGTCTTGGCAGCAGAGTCAAGAGTTTAGGCGTCAGAGTCTGGCAATTACCACGGGCTGGGGCGTCATCTCTGTTCTCAGGGAGAAGGAAGGGGGTCTTTGCTGCTGGTGAGTGGGTATTAATAAAAGCCAAAAAAGGTCAAGTGGACCTCACCTGAAGCCCTTACATAGGCAAAATCATTTCCTCTAAAAGGATATAGGAAAAAGTATCTTACTTCTTAACTTCACTGAAATTATTTTAAAGAATCTTATATTAAAGATCCATAAGGATCCAAAGAAAGTAAACTGAGTTTTTCTTTTTTTTAAATTTAAAAACATCCTCTCAGCATGGAAATAAAATCATCCAAGAGAAATAGCTCATACTTTTGCTGGTTGCTTTTCAAACAAAGCGTTCCAAAATTATTAACTAAAACCGGTATAGTAGGAAACGACTAACAGGATCTGTGCAAGTACAGCTGGGTAGTATGCTCAGGAAGAGGAATAATTTTTGTGATATTCATGAAATCAAAGCCTAGCTAATGCTTTAATTTGGCTTGGGTCTACATCGAAATTCTTGGCTTTATATACCAATTTGTGAAAGCAGAGTGAAGGCAACTAACTTGTGCCTTACTTTCTGAGAACAGAAAGCTGGTAAGAAATGTGGCAAGAGGGCAAGAATAGCCTTACCCACAAGTTTCTTACATGAAATCTTCTCTCCTGGGAATGTGAGCTCCACAGGGGCAGGTATTCCCGAGGTGCTTGCTGAATGAATACATGTATTTAAAAAGCTACAGTCGCTTATACATGGGACAAATTCGAACTATGTATTCAAGGGAAAAAATTACCAAATAGCTCAGCAGCAAATTCCTTGGCATTAGACAGGCATCCTACAATCATGGTTGAAAAATAAGGCACGCTCAGCAGAGCTAAAACCTGGGAAATTCAAGCTTGCTCTAACCGATCAGGGATATCATGAGATAATTGTCATAAACCCTCCAAGAATGGTAAACAAAGCTGGTGGAAATGGACAACATCAAGTTGTTGGTAAACATACTTTACTCTGAAGTTACTGAAATGCTATAAACTGCAAGATACATTTAAATCAAGCAGCCACAAGGAAACTACACGTTTCTGCCTTCTAAGCACTTTTCAGGAAATAATAAAATGCTCCTATTTAGAATGCTTATCTTAAATTAGAGCCTAACATTTTATAACCTATAATAATCTTCCTTAGATGTTCTCAGAATGTACTTTCCTTTAATGATATAACTGTAATTACGTATACAATCAAATATAAATGTGCAACTTGGTCTTTCCATGAATGTATTATATGGAGAACTCTGTGGTTTAAAAATATGATAAAAATAAACAAAAATCAATGCTTAAATACATCTCCACACTATCTAGTTTCATTGTTCATGATTAAAAAATACTTACAAAACTGGGAGGTTCTTTAGAAATTAGGATAACTATGTGTTGAGGTTGACTGAGTAATCAGAAATAAAAAGATGTGCCCTATACCAATTTAGGTCCACATTCAGGATACCTCAACTGGAATTTCTGACACTACTACTGCTGTCAAGTGATATCATCACTACGTAAAGTTAAGCAGTGTGGCAATTTTTAAATCCAAAATTCCTGGGTCATATCCTATCCCCTTCCTCTGCTTCAGCACTATTTTCTTTTCTTTCTTTCTTTTTTTTTTTTTTGAGTTAGAGTCTCACTCTGTTGCCCAGTCTGGAGTGCAGTGGCATGCTCATGGCTACAACGGCCTTGAACTGCTGGGCTCAGGTGATCCTTCTGCCTCAGCCTACCAAGTAGCTAGAAATACAGGCATGTGCTACCATGTCCAGCTAATTTATTTATTGTAGAGATGAGGTCTCACCAAGTTGCCCAAGCTGGTCTCAAACCAGCAAGCTCAGGTAATTCTCTCACCTCAGCCTCCCAAAGTGCTGGGATGAAAGGCATGAGCCACTGCGCCTGGCCTTTTTTTGAGTCAGAGTCTCACTCTGTCACCTGGGCTGGAGTACAGTGGCACACTCACAGTTACCGTAGCCTCGACCTGCTGGGCTAAGGCAATCCTTCTGCCTCAGCCTTCCAAGTAGCTGGAACTACAGGCATGCGTACCACACCCGGCTAATTTTTTTTTATTTATTGTAGAGATGAGGTCTCACCAAGTTACCCAGGCTGGTCTCGAACACATGGACTCAGGCAATCCTCTTGCTTCCACCTCCCAAAGTGCTGGGATTACAGGCGTGAGCCACCATGCCCAGCACTATTTTCATATGTCATTTAGTTCAAGTAAACAGTCCAAATGGAGAAATCTGGAGGATAAGCTTTCTACACAGATAAGGTAGAGTCAAGGTACTTCCATGTTCTTCAGTCTGACTCAGGCTTAGTATTGAAACAGTTTACTCTAGGTGTCCCTTATGGTCAACACCACTTACCTTTTACTTTATTAATTTGCCATTCCCTCCACTATGGGGATTAAAAGGTTCAGTTTTGTTTACTAAAATCCTAAAGTGAATTCCATATAATTCATGTTCAAACAAAAAATCTGCATTGTTCTCTTGGATTTTACCTCTGGTCAATCATTACATAATTCTCCCTTCTTCTTTTAAAAAAAAATCTAATTAGTTCATTTAAATGTTACTCATGGTTTATGCTATGGCACACTCTTAGTGAATATACTATGGCTTTAGTCTCATAAGTTTACTAAGAGAACACCTCTGAGGGTCAATGTGCCAACTCCCTTAGCCAGTCAGACTTAACTCTGGCAAAATAGCCTTTTCCTCCAAGATCCAAGGAAATCAGAATTGCTTGCAATAAAAAGTAAGTGTGGGATACCAAGTATGTTAAAGTTTATAATATAGGACAGATAAAAGCCTATTATAAGATGACATGATCCAAAGGGGTGTAGTAAACAGCTATCATGCTGCTGAGTACAAAGGAATCAGGATACCTAGGGACCAGCACTCAGCAAGTTACCAGTCAAAATGCTAAGACCTATTTTACCAATGAGCCCAAGGGTTTGTAAACCTACACTGTGAAAATGTCAAAGTGCACTGGAACGAAGTTTGGATGACCCACCTCGGGCACTGAACTTCTCTGTGCTTCATTTTCCTTAAAAATCCTTTACTCTAATTTTGTATCTTTCCTTCTTTAGGGTCCCAAAGAGGACCAAAGTTGTCAATAAGCAGAAATACTTTGGAGGAACTCTTTTGTTCTGAGTCATAGGTCTCAGCAGTGGGCTTAAAATATTCAGTAAACTATGCTGTAAACAGATGTGCTTTGTTGTTCCACTTATACAGCATAGGCAGAGTTGATTCAGCATAATTCTTAAGGGTCCTAGAATTTTTGGAATGGTAAATGAACACTGGCTTCAACTTAAAGTCACCTGCTGCATTAGTCCCTAAAAGAGAGTCAGCCTACCCTTTTGAAGATTTGATGCCAAGCATTGGCTTCTCCTCTCTAGCTATATGAAACTCCCAGATGGTGTCTTCTTCCAATAGGTTTCACCTACATTGAAAATCTGTTGTTTAGCATAGCCTTCTTCATCAGTATCTTAGCTCAATTTTGTGGCTGCAGCTTCTCCATCAGCATTTGCTGCTTCACTCTACACTTTTAGGTTACTGAGACAGTGTCTTTCCTTAAACCTCATGGACCAAGCCAACCTCTGCTAGCTTCCAACTTTTCTTCTGCAGCTTCCTAACCTCTCCCGGTCTTCAAAGAATTGAAGAGAGTCAGGGCCTTGCTCTGGATCAGGCTTTGGCTTAAGGGAATGTTGGGGCTATAATGATCTTCTATCCTGACCATTCAAACTTTCTCCATATTGGCAATAAGGCAGTTTCGCTTTCTTATCATTTATGTGTTCACTGGAGCAGCACTTTTAAATTTCCTGTGAGAGTTTTTCCTTTGAAATCACAACTTGGCTAACTGTTTGGCATAAAAGGCCTCGCTTTCAGTCTGCCTTGGCTTTCGACATGCCTTCTTTCACTAAGCTTAATCATTTCTAAAGCTTTTGATTTAAAGTGAGAGACGTGTGATGTTTTCTTTCACTTAAACGCTTAGAGGCCACTGTAGGGTCATTAACTGGTCTAATTTCAATACTATTGTGTCTCAGGGAAAATAGGAAGACCCGAGGAGAGTGACGAAGATAAAGGAATGGCTGGTCAGTAGAATAGTCAGAATATATATAACAGTTACTGATTAAGGTTGTCATCTTGTAGGGCACAGTTCATGGGGTACAAAAGCAATGACAATAGTAACATCAAAGTGTTACTACTGTACTGCAGATCACCATAAAAGATATAATGAAAAAAATCTTAAATATTGCTGAGAATTACCAAAATGAGAAGCAGAGTGAGCACATGCTGTTAGAAAAGACTTGCTTGATGTAAGATTGCCACAAATGTTCAAATTGTAAAGAATGCGGTGTCTGTGAAGTGCAATAAAGTAAGCACAATAAAACAAGGAATGCTTGTATTGTAAAACATTGTAACCAGGGTGATTTTTCAACCAAATGTATCCTACATTAGAATTGTAACTGTTTTTGAATTTTGACTTGAAAGTTATTTTTAAAGTGTAGGTTATATTGATAGACAGATAATTAGTTTAATAACTAGCTACTTAAGCTGATCAAGTTACTTAATTATATTACAGAACTAGAAAATATTGTAAGAAATAGGGAGGAGAGCAATTTTACCTTACTAAATTTTGCTGCATATGTTCAACCTTCATTAAAATTTGGACCCCAGTCTGACAGCGAATGTAGGCTTTCAACCTAAAATAAAAAGGAAGTCATACTGAAGGAAGCAAAATGGATTTATAGTATATTTCAGGATAGTCTTATAAAGACTAAGCATTTATGAGTAGCTAATATTAAAGTTTATCTATCCAAGCATAGAAAAAAAGATAAGAATGTTTTCTAAGGATCTAAAAAAAATACCTTTCCTCTCTGTTCAGTAAAGTATCTTAAATTTAAAAAAGAAGAAAAACGCCTGCTTCAATAAATTAATCTGGCTATATTTTCTTAAAAAATGTATTCATTTTAATGACATACTTTGCCTTACTGCTAAATATATGACTAACAATGAGATTAGCAGTTATAAAAGGAAAAGAAACACAACGATTATAGCTATCCTAAAGATACTGCTTGATATATGACACAAGTCTGCTTCAGTCTGGGCATGATGTTTTATCACAAAAGCAAAAGAATGAGATCTAACTAGAACTGAATCAGACATGTTAGAATCCACCCAGTCTAAACTGTGAACACCAAGTTGCTCTGGAACCATTGCCAAGGATTCATTCATATCCCAAGCAAGTACCATCTGGTGAAAATAAAGTCAACTGGGTTCCTGCCCAGGAGCGCTAATAACTCACACTCTAATAATAGTTCTTTTTCTGAGCAGTGCCTACTATATACTAGGTCCTGTGCTAGGAAAGTTATATATGCTATTTCTCTTAGGCCTCATAACAACCCTATCTAGGAGGTATTATCCTCATTTCACTAATGGAAAAAATTAAGGCCTGTAAATTGAATAACTTGCTCTTAATCACACAGCTAATAAGGGACAGAAACAGCTATTCTAACCCAGGTATCCATGACTGAGTCTTTCCACTGTAGTACATTAACCACTTTTGTCCATGCTGTATTTCTGGACAGGAGGCAGAGTGTACCTTACTAAATTCTATGAAGGCTTGGCTAAAACAGGATTTCCTGTCTTTAACAGTTACTTGGAAACTTAATTTTCAGAGTTTTTGGTTCAACTTGAAAGGCAGTTTAGTTTAAGGGTTAAGGGTGCAGACTTTGACTACAGACTGCCTGGGTTTGAATCTCAGCTTCTCTGTTTACTGGCTATATGAAGTTATACACATGACGTTAAGCAGGGGGCCTCAACCACTGGGCCACAGACTGGTGCTGGTCCGTGGCCTGTTAGGAACCAGGCAGTACAGCAGGAGGTGAGTGGCGGGTGAGCTAGAGAAGCTTCATCTGTATTCATAGCCACTCCCCACTTCTCGTGTTATTGCCTGAGCTCCTTCTCCTGTCGGATCAGCAGGGCATTAGATCCTCACAGAAGTGCAAACCCTACTGTGATCTGTGCATAGGAGGGATCTAGGCTGTGTGCTCCTCATGAGACTCTAATGCCTGGTGATCAGAGGTGGAGCTGAGGTGGTAATGCTAGCACTGAGGAGTGGCTGCAAATTCAGACTAACATTAGCAGTGACGTTCGACTGTACATCCACCTTCCTACCCACATGATCTGTGGAAAAACTGTCTTCCAAGAAACCAGTACCAGGTGCCAAAAAGACTGGGACTGCTGAATCAGTTTTCTCATCTATAAAATGGGTATAATCACAGTAATCTATCTTACAGAATTGTTGTAAGGATTAAATGAATTAATACATTTATTATTATTTGCTTTGAAGAGCATCTGGAACACAGTAAACAGTAAGTATTAGCTACTGTTGTTACTTATACTGACTGACCTTCAGTAAATACCAAAGAAATGAGATAGAAAGTAAAGTGCACTGACACATCACATTCTAATAGTAATAAATATGCACCTAGCAAGTACTTCAACGTTTTTAATTTCAGAAAGTTACAAGATTTTTGAAACATACCTTTGACGAATTACAGGATCAGACTTTTCAGGATCAATGTAAGGTTTTAGGATTTCATTAATAGTTTTATCATCTGGTACTCTTTCCAACAGAGAAAAAAAAGCTATATTACTATTTATGATTCTTCTACTAAAAGTGTTAACTTAGAATTACTAAATGCTGTGGCTGTTTTTGCTTAAATAACTAAACAAAGACTTTTTATTTTATTCTTGGCAAAATGAAACATCCTTTTAAACAAAAATTACTTAGGAAAAAGCTCAAAAAGACTTCTTGGACATACTTAACAAGGTCTTTAAAAACAACATTCTGAGAAGCTCCCTATAAATCAATTATAAAAACATAAGCCTCTCTCAATACACACCTGTACTCAAACATGAAAAGAAAGAAGTCAGGATAAAATATATTTAACTGACAGAAATAAAAAATCTGGAAAAAGATTTCAGATGATGCTAATTTCAGTGCATGTTCAAATTTATTCATTCTAAATCATAAGACCAGGTTAAATTGATACTAATTTCCCTGGAAAGAAAACATTTAAAAATTTCCAACTTTCCTCTATTTATGCACACTGTCTTAAACTTATATATAAAGCTGTATAAACAAAATTAAGATACCATTTTAAAATAATAACTTTCCTCAACCATTTATACACATTCATATATACTATTGGCTTCATATCCCAATCTGTAAAATAAGTTCTTTCCCTGTCTTAAGTCTGGTATACAACTTCAAATAACAAAGTTCTTCAGTAAAATCCATGTGACAATTACAGAGAGGACATTTATGTCCAGTGTAGAAATGTGCTGAATATACTACTTGAAGAGCAACTTAAAAATTTTCCTAACACAAGAATCAACATTGTCATGATGTCCATCCCACCCAAGGCAATCTAAAGATTCAATCAATCCCCATCAAATTGCCAACATTATTTTTCAGAGACCTAGAAAAGACAATACAGAAATTCATACAGAAGCATAACAGAGCACGAATAGCTAAAGCAATCCTCAGCAAAAGAAACAAAGCTGGAGGAACCATACTTCCAGACGTTAAAATTTATTAAAAGGCTGCAGTAACCAAGACAGCATGGTATTGGTACAGAAATAGACACACAGACCAATGAATGGAGCAGGACAGAGAATCCAGAAGTAAAACCACTGTCCCTCAACCAACTCATCTCCATCAAAGCCATCAAGAACAAACACTGGGGAAAGGAAATCATATTTAGCAAATGATACTGGGAAAACTGCTAGCCACAGGCGAAAGATGAAACTGGACCCTACCTATCACCACACACAAAAATTAACTCAAAAATGAACAAAGAGCTTAAATGTAAAACTTGAAACTATAAGAATCTTAGAAGACAACTTAGGGAACAACCCTCCTCGACACCAGAGTAGGCAATGAATCCATGGTCAAGTCCTCAAAAGCAGACACAACAAAAACTAAGTTTGACAGGTGAGACCTTATCAAACTGAAAAGGTTTTGCATGGCAAAAGAAACCAACAAGAGAGCAAAGAGACAATCCATAGAACGGGTAAAAATATTTGTAAGTTATGTGTCTGACAAAAGCCTAAAAGACAGGATTTACAAGGAACTCAAATGAACAGGAAAAAAAAAGTCCCACTAAAAAGTGAACAAAAGACATGAACAGCCATTTCTCAAAGGAAGATCTATAAGCAGCCAACAAACACATGAAAAATGCTCACCCTCACTAATCACCAGAGAAATGCAAGTCAAAACTACAATGAGATACCACCTAACTCCAGTAAGGATGGCAATCATTAATAAGCCAAAAAACAACAGGTGCTGGCTAAGGAGAAAAGGGAATACTTTTACACTGTTGGTGGGAATGTAAGGTAGTTCAACCTTTGTGGAAAGCAGTGTGATGATTTCTTAAAGAACTAAAAATTGAGCTTCCATAAGACCCAGAAACCCCAATCTGATAATATACCTAGAGGAACGTAACTCACTCTACAAAAGACATCTGCACACACATGTTTATTGCAGCACTTTTCACAATAGCAAAAACATGAAACCAATCCAGATGCTGACTGAAAGTGGACTGAATAAAAAAAAAAAAAAAAAAATGTGGTACGTATACGTGATGGACTATTATGCAGTACTAAAGAACAAAATCATGGCTTTCACATCAACAGGATGCAGCGGGAGGCCATCATATTAAGTGAACTATCACAGAAACAAATAACTGAATACTGTATGTTCTCACTCATAGCAGGCCCCAATCACTGATCATACAGGCACAAGGATGGGACTGGCAGACACTGGTCAGTGATTGGGGAGGGAAAAAGGGAGAAGGAGGGGGATGTGGTATGACACTGCGTACCTGGTCCACCATCAGGAGAGGGGCCAGCTAGCAGCCCAAACTTTACCTGCCTGCAACCTACTCATGTAGTAAATCCTCACTGTTATCCCACAGTTCTAAAATTTTTTAAAAAATGTTCAACAGAGCAAATAAAAAAATTATTTTTCCTAACCCAAGAAACCAAATAGTTAAAATTTCAAAGTTGAAACATTATAATTTTTAAATGACACTTGAGAATGTTTATAATATAAAAAAGTAGGACAAAAAACGTTATGCAAATTAGGAGCATATACATTCCAATTAGGAGTATACATATATGTGTCTACAATGATGTGTTTTCTGAGTGATACACTATAACAGTATAGTAGTAACCTTTGCATAGTAGAATTTGAGACAGTTTCCATTTTCTATACACCCCCTCCCTGCTCAAGAAACAGAATTTTTCAGCCTTCCTAATTCTCCTTGCGCCCCTCTGCTTGACACCTGCTCCTCTCCTGAAGTAATCAGCATCATGATTCCTGTGTTAACCATATCTCTAGAGTTCTACCACCTTTGTAGGTATTCCTAAAAAGGACACTATTTAGTTTTCTGTTTTTTTTCTTTCCTATTTGTAAACAGAATCTCATTCTTTTTTAGTGGTGTTCAGCATTTCATTGCAATAATATGTCACAACTTAGTTACCCATTCTACTATTGATATAGGCAACATTTAATTAACAACTTATTTGATGTAAGTAGAGAGCCTTAAAATAAAAACAAATCAGTTCTCATTAGACAACAGTGATACCATACCTTTTCTCTATGTACTCGGCTTGACTTTGAGGAAACTGGAGTTTCACATGCCAACAAAACTGTTGTTTTCTAAGAGAAAATAACCGTATGAGAAAAGAGAGATAATAAAAGTCTGCACACAAATCAAACTTTCTGAACTTTCATTTTAAGATAACTCTTAAATGATACTTAGAATTTAACATATATTTTCTGTTAAGAGCTGAGTACTCTTTCCTAGGATTTTAGAATCTATGTTTTTGAAATAATATACTTGCAAGGGTTGTTAAAAAGAAAAAATAAAGTGAAGCAGTTCTTAATTCCAAGCACTTCACATTCCTGAATTAGAAGGCAATTTCTCATAGTTTCAGGGGCTTTTGAGATCAATGTGCTACTACTTGAAGTTTACAAATAAATTTCCTCATGACTAAATACAATGAGCTGATGTCTTTGCCTGACTAGTCTGGAAATTAGGTGAATGAAGTATTGTCCAGTTGAGTCCAGCTGGCTGCAGATACACTTCTGAGGCATGAGTACGTGCATTCAGTAGCAAAACAGTAGACAACAAGTTGGTTGCTAAGCAGAATGCACTTTGAGCTAGAGTCCCTTTGCTTTTGGGTCTAAACTTTGGTTTGACATAGGATCAACAGCAATAATTCACCAAATGCCTGATTTTTAAAAATGATCAGATGTCCTATTTAATTTATCTAAATTTAGTGACACTAGAAATGACACCCTTTTAAAAAAACAACTAACAATGCTCAAAATATTGAATCTATTACAGAAATATAAATGTCTTCACGACATGATGGTTTTACACAATGTTTTCCTTACAAGAAATTTCTAACAGTCCACTGGAGTTAATGACAACCAGTATCTCCTCCAAGAAATAATCAGCATTCCCTTGAAATCTACTCCATAGCAGCAGGGTCCCCAAATCTAAAATAATCCTTTAATAATCCGGTGGAGTATCTTTCACAAAACATTTATATGATAGTCAAACTTTTGTCAGAAAACAATGACCACAAACTCAAGCAAAATCCCTTCCGTTAGAATAAGTCACCACAGATCTGCATAGGACAGTTTTACTTAATAACAAAATAATTTTTGGCACAAGCTAGAGACATGCTTATGTCGATAGAGCTACTTATCATATAAGAAACAATTGTAATAACTTTATCGATAACTTTATTTTTTGAATGGAACAAAGCTGAAAAGCATCCTGCACTGATCTAAAAGCCAGATGTCTAAAATTTCAGAGGAAAAAACTTAAAATAATTTTTGAATGCAAATGCAAAAGTTACTAGCTTTAAATAAATCTTTCAAAATGAAATACTTTGCAATGTCCATTATTTGTGAAATAAACACAGCACATCACTATCAAGAAGCTGAGAGACACTCGTTTTTTCTATTAGTTAGAAGTAACTGATTTTGTTACTGTTACTGCATAGTATGATTTATTTCTAAATACGCTTGTCTATCCATATTAACTTGGGAGAGGATCATCAACTTGTCATCCTGTAGAATTGCAAATCATTACTAAATCATCCCCAATCATTGCTTAATTTCAAACAATTGCTTTTTTTTTTAAATTGTAAACATTCAATAGACCCTAAATACCTTCAGAAAGTACTTAACATTCCAAACACAAGAGAGAAAAGCCCTTGGAAATCATTTTATTTGCTGTAGTTAACCAGCTGTGGTTATAACAAAGCCGTTCATTACTATTTTATTATATATATGCTGCCAAATTATTGCTAAAAATCTTTAGTTTGCCTTAGTTCAAACATGAACAAATTTGAAAAGTACAATTACCTTTTTTTTTTGAGTTGGAATCTCACTCTGTCGCCCAGACTGGAGTGCAGTGGCACACTCCCGGCCACTGCAGCCTCGACCTGCTGGGCTCCGGCGATCCTTCTGCCTCAGCCTTCCAAGTAGCCGGAACTACAAGCGCGTGCTACTACACCTGGCCAATTTTTGATTTATTGTAGAGACAAGGTCTCGCCAAGTTGCGCGGGAGGGTCTTGAACCCACGGGCTCAGGCAATCCACTCGCCTTGGCCTCCCAAAGTGCTGGGATTACAGGCTGAGCCACCGAGACCAGCCACGGTTACTTTTAAAATGTGATCTTGTAATATTTTGAAAACTAAGAAAATGAGAATAAAGAACACTCAATGCATCCATATTCATCTTTCACCCACTTACATATTGCCATCTTTCTTAGATGCTTTGCTTTTATTTCTTCTGAGAAATAAAAGACTACTGATATGGCTGATAGGCCTTCGTACTGTATTCTGACCCAAGGTGGACAAAGAGAACTTGTAGCGTGTTGTATAAATAACTGCTGGCCCAGGCTCGGTGGCTCAGCCTGTAATCCCATCACTTTGGGAGGCCAAGGTGAGTGGATTGCCTGAGCCCAAGGGTTCGAGACCAGCCTGGGCAACTTGGCAAGACCTCGCCTCTACAATAAATCAAAAATTAGCTGAGCATGGTGCACATGCCTATAATTCCAGCTATTCGGAAGGATCACCTGAGTCCATCAGTTTGACACTGGGGTGGCCGTGAGAGTGCCACTGCACTCCAGCCTGGGCGATGGAGTGAGTCTCCAACTCAAAAAAAAAAAAAAAAAAAAGGAACTGCTAAAATGGCTAAGTTAATTATCTCTCTAAGGCAGTTTCCAATTATTTAGTGTTGCTGAAATTCATGTGAGTCATGGCGTTGGCAAGCAAATATCTTCTTAAGACTCAAGTAATTGTTTCCCATTTTTCATAATTATATATAGTGATATACGTTCCACTTAAAAATATACATAAACCAAAGTCTCAGGAACATTACTTAGATTACTTGTATTATTTTATAAAGATAGATTTCAAGAAATACATTCATTAGGAAACTTCTCAAACTTGGTGGTACTGACATTTGGGACCAGATAATTCTTTGTCACCAGGGACTCGGTCCTGTACATTGCAGGATGTCTAGCAGCATCCCAGGGCTCCATCCACTAGATGCCACTAGGAACACCCACACACTCAGTTGTGACAACCAAAAATGCTCCCACATACTGGGAAGTAAAATGGCCCCTGGGAAGTAAAAAAAATCACTTGTTTGATTTTTACTTACTATTTTTTTTTTTACACTATACCTATAGGGATAGCGATGTGAACATTATTATTCCTAATGCATTAGGGCTACTGTTCCCTAAATTTAACAAAATGCCTTTAACTACAATGTCATTGTGCAAATCAACATTCTTAAGAATGGAAATACTGTACCTAGAAATATTATAGGTAACTTAGGGATTGTAAAGTATCATGACTAGAATTTGATAAATGGAGTAATGGTGGCAATTATTAAACCAAATGTTCCCTTCCAGACAACCTCACACATTGACAGAAACACTAACCTCTTCTGAGTCCTACTGAACCCAAGAAACTATTCAAGCATAGCAAAGCTCCTCTCACCACAAATATCAATACATACCTGTTGATCATGTATTCTCATTGGAGGCAGTTATACCCCAAATGGGGCAAAAATTGGTTCTTTGAAGAGTCAACAAAATCTTAGAAATTACAGTGTTTATGGCCCTACAAAGGGTCACTGTACACCAACAGATTATACAGTGTGTCCATGGTACCAAAATATCATGGGAGGAAAAATGGTTAAAAAGGCACCTGGGGGGGGGGCAATAATGGAAAAAAAAAAAGACTGAAAAACAGATGGCACATGTATTAAATTAGGAAAATAAAGATTACTATATACTTTGTTTCAGTGAGAGAATACAGGGCTCACTTCGTGAACACCTGCTTACTAGAAACTGTTTAGAAACTCTCCCAGTTTCAAGAAAATGATGAAGACACACATTTGGGGAAAGAAGTTCTTTATCTATATATTCAATTATTATTTTGACATTATTACTTAAAATCGCAAATTTTCACATTTGGAACCCTACCATAACCTCAAGGAAGATGCAAATAAAAAGTCATAAGTGCCTTTTAAATGGCATTGCTCTCATGTTACAGTAAGATGTTCAAATTATTAATAACCAAAGAAATGTATATAGAAATAGAATTTTACCTATCAGATTTGCTGAAATTTTTTTTTTTAATGAGTTGTAGTGTCACTCGGTCATCCAGGCTCATGGCCACTGCAGCCTTGACCTGCTGGGTTCAGGCAATCTTTCCTCCTTAGCCTTCCAGGTAGCTGGAACCACAGGCATGTAACACCACCACGCTCAGCTATTTTTTTTGATTAATTGTAGAAAAGAGGTCTTGCCAAGCTGCCCAGGCTGGTCTCGAACCTGTGGGCTCACGCAATCCTCTCACCTCCGCCTCCCAAAGTGCTGGGATTACAGATGTGAGCTACCACGCTCAGCCAGAGATGTTTTGAAAATTGGAAATGACAGGGAAGCCGGGCTTGGTGGCTCAGCCTGTAATCCTGCGCCTTTGGGAGGCTGAGGTGAGTGGATTGCCTGTGCCCACG